AGAGAGAGAGAGAGAGAGAGAGAGAGAGAGAGAGAGAGAGAGAGAGAGAGAGAGAGAGAGAGTACAGAATAATATTACTTTGAATGTGGGGGTTAGGTGTGAGAGATATTGCCTTCAGGTTTACCTAAAGACGAGGTTGTGATATATAGGAAGTGGGGAAGTCTCATCTTTAAGTGGAAAGTATAACAGTGAATTAGAAGCATCCTGCTAGGCCACTTTAAGAGAAAACATACAGATAAATGTCTAATATCACTCCCGGTTTTGAAGCACCAGCCTTTAAATGCTTTTCTTAAAGTAACGGATGATGCTATTTTTATCTCCCCCAACTTATGACCTGAAGGTCTGACCAGGCATCAGAGAGAGAGCCCGCATGGTGGATGGGAATGAGAGGGGGGGAAATGTCAGGGGAGCCAGTGTAAGGAAGGACAGCATAGTGCCATGATTGAGGCTAAGATGATATAGGCCTCCCCTTCCCTGTGGCCCTGCTCTGACTGACTGGGACCAGGCTTGACTGAAGCATCATTAGGCAGCCACAATGTCAAGGTTAGCAGAGGACATTGTGTCTTGGCAGTGTGACCTACTGTAACAATCCCTGCAGGCCTCCCCACCTTGATTACCCACCATCTACTGTTAGATGAGCACTACCCACCTGGGAAACGGTGATGCTGCATTTCTTGGCCAGCTCCTCCTTGGCCTCCTCGCTCGGATACGGGTTGCTGAGGTGCGAGTAGAAATATTCGTTCAAAATTTCCGTCGCCTGCTTGCTGAAGTTTCTCCTTTTTCGCCTGAGTGGAGAGCAAAGCGAGAGACGGGGCAGAGCGAGCCCATTAGCGAGACCAGCATTAAGGCTTGCATTTGGACTGCACAATCAATCTCACACATAAATGGTGAAAATAATGAGGAATTGGTTCTTGGGTGGGGGTGAGGGGGGCGGCTTCAGGAGGCAAATATCATGTCCTGCTCCCAGTGTAGTCTGCACAGAAAGGACAAAACACTGACCAATAAACACGGTCTCAAAACACACAGAATGTTTAATTTGGTCTGTTGGTCTGCAATCTCCAGTCCAAGCGTGTAATGCGCAGAGTTTAGTGCAGCGGATGGGTGGGCTTCGTGACGGAGCGCAAAGCCCAGTCGGAGTGCATCTCGATACATTATAGAAATCACGGCATGCACAGTTGAGCATTGTTCCTGAAGAGCCTCAGCCCCGGGTTCTCCGGCAGAAACAAGGAAACTCTAACTAGATCTGGGTCCCCTTGCCTCCCAAGGGCACTACTTATCATGTTGTTGAGCATTTGCTTATTTCGCCTTGTTTACTGTGCTTCTCGCAGGCAGTGGGCAGCAAATGTGCTTCCACTTGGCTTGTTTAGCCACAACTTGTGCCGCTCTCGGCAGAGCTCCCGCTCCGCACCGTACTGTTAGTGATTAGAGTAATCCACAACACCTGCTGATGACCTTCCCTCCATCCATTACACATGACTCGGTCCCCATTTCATTTGGTCTTAACTGCTCTCAGGTGTGAGGGCATGATTGTCTTGAAAATGGATAATGCATGGAACATGAGCGTAATTAAATTCATGCATCTCTGCTGTGCTCATACTGTGTGCTGTGCTACAAATGGGAGAGTAACTCAAGACTTGCACAAAGCCTCCACCACCACCACCACAACCCCACCCACTGGGTTTGCTTATATGGGTCATACAGAAGGAATGGAAGTTTCTAAATACCTAAGACATACACACACTCATACACATTTAATAAAACACACACACACACACATTCCACTGACCTGGCATCAAGGAATCTGGAGCGCAGGATCATGACAGCCTCACAGGTGCTTTGCTTCAGTTGCATCTGGATGGAGCTGAATTTACGGTGGATTATTCCCACCATGCGCTCGATCTCTTTGGGCGAGATGGGTCGCGTGCGAGATTGTTCCCTCAGCAGGTTCATCACATGGGTAGTGAACTCGTTACACGCCTGAAAAGAAACAGAGGGGGCACAAACAACCGGAGTGAGTTGCTTCTAATCACTGCCAAGTTTTAAAAGAACTTCAAAACACTCACTGATGGATTTTCCAAAAGTGATTTTCATTGTTTTTTTTTCATTCATCAAGTGAAGTATTTACATGCACAGATTCAAAGCTCTAACAGAGTGCCTTGTTTTCATGTGCCTCCAATGACATAATCGATGAAGTCATCTTTAAACAAATGGAGATTTGCAACTTTGCTCGGCCGTAATGCGTTGAGAATTTAAAAAGCGTTCAGTTAAACCGGTAGTTCATGCGTGATTAATTAGAATAACTCATTTACGTAGTGCACACTTTAGCTCATTACTCTGAGCAAAATTCGTTAAGTATTTACATTTAGATAATTAAAACACGGAAACACCCTTAAGAAAGATGCATTTACTCCAGGCTAAGACTTGTGTTGCCCCCGTGCCTCCTCTCTGAAAGCACAAAGTAAATTAGTCTCATTTAGCGTGCTGGCTTGCTGAGGCATCACTGTTACACCTTTTTATTTTCACCCACAATGCCTCAGTGTTTAATAGTAGGCTGAAAGTGCTAGGTGAAGGAGCTGATCATACTTTCATTTAACACAAATGACAAGTGCAGTCCTCTGGATCTCTGTAATCATCTACAACACAGTAAGTAATGTTGTGGTTTATTTTCCAGGCCATTCTCTCTCATCATATTAACTGGAATGTTCTCTGTAATGCAATGCATAAGCTGCTCTGGATGATGCAATCTAACTATGAAGCGTAACTCAATGGGCACATGTGGAAGTCACAGGATTGTGTAAAACTTCCAGTATTAAAAAAAGAAGAAGACACAAGACGTTATTCTTTTTCTGAATGGAATTAAAAATGCAGCAACAGTTCTGAGTAAAAGGCATAAAAGTAAAAGTATTTGGGATCCCTCCTTACCTGTTCATATTTCTCCAGCTCTGTGTGGTAGATCTGTCTGATCTGTGTGAGTTTGGCTCTGTAGTCAGAATGTTCGATGGAGTTGTCGGCTGCCCCGCCTGATGCCGCGGCAGCAGCTGCAGCGGCGGCAGATCCGCCACCTTTCTCCGGTCCTGCCACTCCTTCTGCCAGCAGCATGTTGTCTAAACGCATAAGCTGGGGGTCCGGAGGGTCCTCCTCCTGGGCACCACGGATGCTGAGACCTGGAGTGGCACAAAAAAAGGGCACAGTTTTAGAAAATGCCAGGTTGCCATTTGCTAAATACAAAAAACTATCATAAGGAATTAAACAAGCATTTGGTAAATAAATGCATATGTTTACTTTTGTGCACTCTAAAGATTTAATCAAATTGTTCCAGTGCTTGAGGTTGACGATGAGGATGACCCTCAACTACTATTAAATCAAATTATAGCTTAATATTTGTATAACTGACTGAATTAGGGCAATTTTTGTGTTTTCTGAGTTTAATTAGCTGTTTTACTAAAAGACAATTCCATTATCTTCCACCTTTCAAGACTGCAGGTCCTGAGAATTATTGTAGCCAAAGCAAAAGTTTCCAAACTGTACAGTTAAGTGCAATTAAATGCAGCACATCTGCACATTCTGCCATACTGTGACTATGACTTCCCTTGCAGGTATGAACTGAGTGCCTCCTGTGTATGTGTTGTGTTCCTGTCGCCTGCATCTATGTCTGTTCCCTTTTTATTTACACACTGCGCTGCACAGTGTGTGTACAGGAAAGCTGACATGACAGCAACATCCATAAACTGACAAATGCTCAATAGTGAAGTGGCACTTCTACTCTGTGAATGGATGCTAAACAGGAAACTATACCTACAGTAAGTGTCTCTGTCTTTCACACACTGAAGGCTGGAAGCTCCATAAGAGTACTACAGTTTTTCCTATTTTGATCAGCTTATATAAATATGTACTGTATATTAAAAAAAACATGTACAATAGGTTACCTTCAGGCCCAGGCCTCCCTTGAAAAAGATATGAGATCTCAACGGGACTTGCCTGGTTAAAGAACGGTGAATAAAAAAAATTGAATCTCATCTACATTTATAGTCCTAAACTGCTCTGGTAAAAAAAAAAAAAAGGTCTACATACAGTGATATACTGTAAGTGGTAGGTCAATTCCATGCAAATTGCTTATTCAGGAAATCTGCTTTTGTTTGCACATTTTGCTGTGTATTTCCTCTGGTTCTCTGTCAACACGCTGTAATCACCCAGCAGGTAGTGTCCACTCACACCTGGATGTGCTGGCACTGCAACCACAATGCCAGGCTTTTCCAGAGAGTAAATAAACACACTGTGGGTCAAAATTACAGAAAAAAAACTACACATACAAGCAAGAGCAATTCAGTTTTGTAAGTGGATATAAATGTGGCTCAATGGGCAGTAAATACTGAGTGGCTACTCGAGTGTTATGATTACCAGAGCTGTTTCAATTCAATAATCCCTCCCGCAATTCAGGGATTTTCAACAGCTAATTACAGCTTCATTAAGATATGGCCAGCCTCTGGATTGTAAATACAAAGATTAGTGGCTCTATTGTGTCAGCCAGTAGGCATGCAATCAGAGAAGCCCCTCTTACCATGTTTTGACTGAGTGACCCTGCTCACCATCCGCAGGAGTAAATACTAAAGAGATAATAACTCTTTTCCTCTTTCTGTCTCCTCTATAAAAAAGAGTCTGTGTTAAAAAAATACAAATCTAGGCAACATATTGTGGCCACGTCTCTGGTGTTTTCATCTCTGTTGGTGTTTTGTTCAACTGCAGTGCCAGCAGGAAAAAAAAATTGCCTCTATTTATGGATCGTCTGGCTTCGAGTCTTTTAGGTGTAATGGTGTGAGAGGAGTGGATGAATGTGGCTATTTGTGCTGGAGACATTGAGATGTTGGACGAGGCTCCATCAGGCTTGCAGAGCCAAGCCATCCGAGTGGACAATATGCCACTGCTCCACTAACCCTCGTCCACATCGCACCAACATTTGCACAACTTCCACCCAAGGATGCCGTTCTGGAGATACTCCACCGCTTTGAGCAGCGTGAGACAAAATGGCACACAACTCAAACATTGATTGACCAGATGCCTGGCTCCGCGGCTCAACGTGCTCTAATAGCTGGTGGTTTATCTGCCACAACAGCTCAGATTTCCCTAATTTGCTATTTGCTCCCACTCTCTGATTCAACACAAGCGCAGCAGGCCTCGCTTTCTTTTGTGCTGCGGGTGGTGGTAAGTAGGTAGGCACGTTTTTCATGTCAGGTATATTAAATATAACTCTGGGACGCGGCGTAGATTTCCACACCAAACCCAGTTGTCACTTTCACTCCACTCACTCTATATCCAGGGGAAATGCAGTTGAGGGAATTTACAGGGCTTTTCAGCTAAATGGGCATAAATCACTGCTTTCATTCAAACTAAATAATCACAGACCATAAAGAGCTCCTTGTCTCTTACCATATATTACCACAAAGTTCCCACGCGCAATATTGTGGCCATTCACAGCAAAAGAAAACTGAGCGGGACATTAGAAAGTGACATGTAATCCTGTTAGTTCGCTGACATGTGGAGTGGCCGTGACATTTTTATCATACGTGTCCATTTCTATTTGGGAAAATCAGCAGGATAAAAATGATTACTCCGCTGCTCCGAGAAGCAGACGGCCCTGCAGGAGTCCACCAGGGTGTGTTTGTGCCACAGCAGCTCAAACTGGTCGTTCATAACACGTGTTGGAAAGTATACATCTATCTACAACACACACACATAAAAAAACACATACTAAAAAAATAAATAAATAAAAGTAAGAAGAATAAGAAACCTTATCTTGGTCTCGCTGTCTTATTCCGTGCACCTTTGTTACAGGAGGTAAAGATTTGGGATTCGCCGCTTAAGCTCAGCATCATCACATAACTTCCACAATATAACCTGCAGCAGAGATACTATCTTTAATTTGCTGTGCCGCTGACAAATCTGTATCGTAATTCTACAGCCACATTCTAATGCTGTGTTGGTGCTTTTCCTGCTCAAATCTTTATCCTGTTTTTGTCTGATGATATGGGTATTAAAACAAGTTTGGGCACCTGACTTTAGCTCTAATCCACCTCCACAGTCAAAGTGGGATTAATCTCGGTGCAAAGGGAGAGCGCGAGAGTCGTGTCACCTTGGAAAAGCCTGCGAGCAGTGGGAACTTAGGAATAAAGAATCTGTGCTTGTTCCAGTTGTTTTACTCTGACCTGATGACGACGATGATGATGGCTCAGTTAATTAAGAGTGTGTTTAATGATGTAAAAGGAAGAAAAGAGAAACTCAGAAATTATATTAATAATAATGCCACACATCCTTAATCGGCCTCATTTGTCACTCAACAATACAGGTGGTGTCACTGGTGGGGAAAAAATCACATGCATGTATGATTGTTCCTCATTTTTCTTCAGTGGCTGAGACAAAAGGAGACACTGTGATTAATCCACGACTATCACTCAGAGGTGGGTCCTCTTTTAACATTTTACAGGTCTTGCTGCCGCCATCTGATCTGAGGAAGGAATAAATTTGACAGATAAAGACAATGCAGTTCTTTTTTTATATATACTCCCCCCTCTGTTCTCTGTTTATAATCATTTCCGGTTCACGGCTGTTGTCTCGTACATCATTCCCTGCTTGAAACACTGACAGTGATCTGAGCACCGCCTCAGGCCGCTCTCCTTTCCTCCCACCTCTTTTTCCCCCCTTGTGCCCTCTTTTATTCTGTGGGCTTAGCTGACCTTTGCCCCGCTGCTTGTTTACTCTCATCACTGAAGTGTGAGCAGGAGAGCCATAAAGGCAGAGCCCTGCTGGGTTAATGTGGCCTGCTGAAGAGGAAAGGGGTTCCTCTGGGCTTCTTCAGCTCATTCTGCTGCACTCACTGCACTGTCAAGCAACAGGACCATTCACTGTGAAGAAAGACCGCAGATAAAGCAAGAGATTTACTGGTAACAATTCAATTTCAACAACTTGGTGTTTTTTAATTTTTTTTATTTATTTTTTGTTATTTTGTTTTGTACGTGTGTAAAAGTGCCACTATTTTGTCTGTGTTTAACACCATGACACTTTTTTTAAATCAGCCTGTTCTTTAGAAATAACCCTGACTTCCTGTAGCTCCTCGCCCACCAAGCACCTCAAATGAACAGCTTTAACCACATATCGACACTCTGTTCATCTAATTGCATTGATCTGCAAAGGTCTCCAAAAGCTAACTAATCGAAACAGAATTTATTTTCTGCCAATATTCGCAAAGGTCATCTCTCTTAAAGCCATGGAGCAGACTGGGTGCACAGAGAAGCATCTGGAAAGAGGGCGGGGGTAAGATGACCGTGGCCTCCCACCTGTTACCGAGGACCATCCAAGGTGAGCTTTAACTCGAGCTTGGCACTCAGGATTCAAGGCTTCTAATCCACCGTGTTATTAAAACCCACTGCCAAAGCAGCACACTGGAGACTCCAGAGGGCTAAGAGTATCCATTTCACACAAAGAGGCCAGTGTCACTGCTGCCGCGTTCCACGTCTCCTTTGACTTCATATCATCTCTTTTGTCGTGGCGCCTGGATCAGTAACCTTCAGCTGCAGAAGCCGGGAGCAGGATCAAATTACCATTGAAAATCTTTTGTTCTGACAAATGAAACATCAGGATCCTCTTTCATCAATGTTCTTAAGGGCTTTTTATAAAGGCTGGCCTACATCCACATGGCACAAAGAATCTGAGCGAATGCCTGCAGGCGCTCTCTACCATGTACAGTAATTAACATGCCATTAACACATTAATACACATTAACTATTCCCAATGTTAATGGCAGAGTAATTACCATACCTGATACCGCACTGTGGGGAAGCCAAAGCACATTTGCCACTTTGTGTTTCACTTTCTTTGTTGAGCGAGCTGAAAGGAGAGAGGTGAGATGGCTCTGTCTGCTTTTCTTCCCTGAGAAAATAACGGTGTCCATGCGTGAGTCTGGATTGTTGAATTGTCTAAGAAGTGCTTTCATACAAACACCACAGCTGTTCAAAAAAATCACTAAAAACAAATGAGAGAATTTCTTGAAAATCACAGTTGATTGATTTTAGAGAGATGAGACTGAAAAACTTAGAGCAGACAATGACTCCAGCAGTGATTAAACGTTGAATAAAAGAAGGCACAGAATGAGACCCAAACCGGGGGAATCCCT